AACGTTTTCCTCTGCCCACGAGTTGATTTCCTTCTCAAACTCCGGGTCGAAGTTGTCGTTGGTGGTGGGTGTCCCAAGTTTGCGGTAGTGTTCTACTAGACTAGTACTTCCCTCTTTCCTTTAGAACTGCTTACCATCTTACCCTCGGCAAATCTTAGTGTCGTTATTTCCGTGTCTCCCCCTCTTTTCTTGCCCACTATCCCTTGAATTCCTACCCACATTTGCTTCATCCCCCCCTCAAAATCTTCGTTAGTCTTTTGGACTACTTCCTCCCACAACCCTTTCTTCTTCTTCACGACCAACTCCTTCACCCTCTTTCTACTTTCAACATATTCCTTCCATCTTGCATCTGTTTTCCCTGCCGCATATTTTGCGTGTGACTCTCTACGTACTCGAATTGCTTGCTTGATTTCTTCGTCCCACCACTTCACTGCTCTCTTACAAACTATCAACTATCTACCTAGAACTCTACTTGCTGTTGTGTTTACCAGCTCTTCCCACTCTTCTATGATTCTAGACCCGGCCTGGTCCCGGCCTTCGGCATCCTTCGGTGTGCCCATTGCCTCTATCAACTCCGAGAGTTTCTTGTCGTTTATAGCCATCTCTTCTTGGAACTCTACCCTCGTTTCTTCTACCTCTAGCTTATCTATTCTCCATCTGTACATTTTCCTGCGTCGCCTACTCTGTATGGCTCTCGTCTGTTGTAGGGCTGTCCACACCAACGCGTGGTCTGTAGTGCCTACATCCGTTGTGCATACTCGTACTTCCGTCTCTTTCCCCCCATTCTCTACGACTATGTAGTCAAGGATGGAGCGTTCTCCTTTTTTGAAACATTGCCTAGTCCATTCCGGTTCTGTCTTTCGTACTCTACCGTTCAACACCTTCATCTCGCTACTGTCAAGGAACCTCAGCATTTCTTCCCCGTTCTTGTTCGTGGCTCCCTCCCCGTATTGCCCTATGGCTCCGTGTGGGTTCGTGGTTCGCCCGATTCATGAATTGAAGTCCCCAACTAGAACTATTTCTCCCTTTCTCTTGAAGTTTTGTACATCCGCTGCTACCTCCTCGAACCCTATCCTGATGTCCTTCACCATATTCTTCGACTCTGGTGGCATATATACATGGTATACATGGTCGGGGGGGGGGGGGGGGGAAATGGGGGGAAGAAAGCAGGCATCCTCCCCTTCTAAAAAAATGGACTTGAGGTAACCCCAAAAAAAATTCTGCCAAATTCTTAATGCAAAAAAATTTTTCCCAGGCCACCCCCCTTTTAGGGGAGGGTGAAACCCCCTCCCCGGGGAAAAACCCCCTAAAAAGTGTATCCCCCGCAAACCCCAAACACCCTCCCAGCCCCCACCCCGGTTGAAATTACTTGAAAATTGGATCGTCCCTTCCATCCAAAAATG